TAGTAACTTTTTTGCATGAAGCCTATTTTATTCTGATAATATAGTTTACCATTTTTCTTTAGAATGTGTTTTGTTATATTTTTCTATATCCTTTAACATTTTTCTCTATAATAGTCCCATTTTTTTTAAAGAGAGAGGGAGAGAGAGATAGATAGATAGAGATAGATAGATAGAGAGAGACATAATTTTAATATTTATTATTTTTTTAGTTTTCAGCAGACACAACATCTTTGTTTGAATGTGGTGCTGAGGATTGAACCCTGGCCACGAGCTACCGCTTGAGCCATATCCCCAGCCCCCTCTCCTTTTTTTTTTGAGATAGGATCTTATGTTGCCCAGGCCAGTCTCAAAACTCATGGGCTCAAGTGATCCTTCTACCTAAGCTTCCTGAGAAGCCAGAATAGGGGCATGCCATACCTTATTTTTGTTTTTAAGTTGGAGTTTGTGTGTCTATGAGGGAAGGAAGTACCAAAGATGAAACCTAGGGACACTTCAACCATGTGCTGCATCCCAGCCCTATTTCTTTCTTTTTTTGAGATGACTTGCTAAATTGCTAAGGATGGCCTTGGTCTTCCCAGTCACTGGGATTACAGACATGTACCACCACCTTTGTACTTATTGAAACTAGTAATATTGGGATTTATTTTCAGCTATTCTTTGAGCTTTTATGTCTTGCCTTACCCCATCGCTTTCCCTTTCTTACCTTCTTTTGGAACCTTTTTCTTTATTATATGCTTTTTGTTCTACTTATCTAGAAATTTTATATTCTTTCTTTTGGTTCCTCAAAATTTTTAATATGCACACTTACTGAAGTCTCTCTCTCTATATATATATATGATTTATATAATATTAATATGTGTAACATTATATATATACAATTCTTCCTCAAAGAACATAAGTAACTTACAATATTCCCTCATAATGTACATGCAATTGTTGTATATTTTACCTCCAGCTTTATTATTCTCAAAGTACATTTTTGGATTTAGTTTTATGAACATATGTAACACATTCTCTGCTCTTCATTCCTTCTGGCATCTCAGACTTTCCATTTGAAAACACTTCCCTTCTCTCTGAACTTAGAATTCATTTATTGATGGTCTGCTGGCAAATTCACTAAGCTGAATATGTATTTCATCTTTGTTCTTGTTAAGGACAAAAAACTGTTTTTACTAGGTATAAACATCTAGACTGCAAGTTTTTCTCCAGCATATTGAAAATAATTACCACTGGCTTTTGTGTATGTGTCAGATTATTATTGAAGACTAATCAGCTGTCATTCTTGTAGTGTTTCTTTGAAGGTTTGTTTTCCTCTTTTAAGATTTTACACAGCTGGGCACAGTGGCACATACCTATCTGTAATCTCAGTGACGCAGGAGACTGAGGCAGGAGGATCACAAGTGCAGGGCCAACAACTCAGTGAAAGCACGTTTCAAAATAAAAAAGGGCTGGGAGCATATATAGCTCAGTGATAGAGTTCCCTAGGTCTGATCCCCAACACAAAATAAATATAAAAATAAAGAAAAGATTTTATATTTACTTTCTTGAAGTGTCTAGGGAGGATTTCTTTTCTTGTTTTCTCTTTTGGAACCAGGGATTGAACCCAGGGGCACTTAACAACTGAGCAACATCCCCATTTTGTATTTTATTTAGAGACAGGGTCTCACCGAGTTGCTTAGGGCCTCACTAAGTTGCTGAGGCTGGCTTTGAACCTGTGATCCTCTTGCCTCAGCTTTCCTAACTGATGGATTATAGGCCTGAGCCACGGCACCTAGCTCTAGGGAGGATTTCTGCTTGGGTTAGTTGTGCTTCTTAAATCATAGCCTGGTGCATCTCTTTAATTCTGCCTCTCTTCAAACAGCCGCCCCTCTCCATGAATCTCTCGTTTTCTTTAGGAACTAAGTAAATGTATGGGCTTTTCTCTCCATGCTCCATGTTACTAAACTTTCTTCATATTTTTAATCTTTGAATTTCTGTCTATGTTGTAGATAAATACTTCATTTCTATTTTTCAATGTACTAAATTCTTATGTGTTTTCATACTATTATCTAATTTCATAACATGAAATTTACTTTTTCAGAATGTCACCTTAGGAGGTAATATACTTATTTTGACAATTTTGCTGTCACTTAAACCATTTTTAAAATTCTTTTGGAAATTACCTTCTAGTCCACATATCCTTTCTTTTTAAATACTAAATTCCTTCTAGTCTGGTCTCCATTAGATTCATAAACTTGATTCTTACATTCTATGTCATTCCTCCTCCCTGTATTATAAAGTCCTTGTAAATGGCAGTGGCTATCATACTTGAGATATGAGAAATCATCTTTCTTACTACAGATATGTCATTGTCTATAAAATTACTTCAGCTCCTACCCAAATGTTGGGCACACTAGTAGATAAAGTAAAAATACTAAAAAAATCGAAACACTGAACTATTTCACCTTGACAAAGATAAAAAAGAATGGCAATAGCAGTGCTGGCAAGGGTATCCAGAGATAGGCACTTGCATATGTGTTTGATAGGAAAGAGAACTGGTTCTTTCTTCAGAGAACAATTTAACAATGTTTCAAAATTCCTTATAACTTTTGACTCATTCCAGGGACTTAGCTTTAAGGACATAAATTTAAATTATTTGTTCACAAAGTTTTATTTAAACTTATGAAAAAATTAAATAATGCAGAAATATTAATGTGTTCACAATAAATTTTAGGAAAAAAGCAGGCTACAGAATAGTATGCTTACATGTTTATATTAAACTAAATATACAAAGAAAAAAATTTTCCTTGGAATCCATTCAGTCTCTAGAATAAGTGATGTTTACCTCATTTATTACCTAGGCTTTCCAAAACATATTGGCAATGAAAAATGACTGAATTATTTTAAGTATATCAGAGTTCCTAACACATTTTTAAAAATTTTATACATTTATTAATTTTTATGTGGTGCTGAGGATTGAACCCAGTGCCTCACATGTGCGAGGCAAGTGCTCTACCACTGAGCCACAACCCCAGCTCCCCCCCAATCAGATTTTAAAAATTCTCTTGGAGGGATGGTGAATATGGCTCAGTGGTAAAGCCCTTACCTTGGGTGTCCAAGCCTTGGGTTTGATTTCCAGCACCACAAAATAGATGAATAAATAAATTAACAATAAATGTGTGTATATATGTCTGTGTCTGGGAAAATGCAGTCTGGTTTAAATAAAAACTATGAATAATATATCCTTCATTCTAATATCCCTGGCAACTTAAATTCAATATTCATAACTCATTCTACCATTGCCTCCACCTAAAATTTCTCTCACAAAGAACAGAAACAGCTACTTCTCAAAGTCCTAAAAGTATAGGTAGGAAGTTAAGAGGAGAGGGGCCAGGATATAGAGAAGAGAGAAACTGAATGTTGACAAGGAACAGACCCTCAGTATTGGAATAGATTAAGAACAGGACTTTTAGGAAGGAGAGAAGCTTCTATGAATAAGCTTCTCCTTTAACCAGTTTTCTCCCTTTCTCAGGCACATTCTTTGCTACAAGCTCCATCCAACTGCTATGAGAAAACTCAGAGATCCTAGCACCAGGTGTGATTACCATGGCATTTACATAAGTGAAGTGGAATAGGACTTACCAGCTCAGAGTTAATTCCTGATTCTGTTCTTTTGCGTCTTCCTTAGTATACTGGAGGTCTTTCTTCAGAAAAGTTTTGCTTCATTGTTTCTCAGCTTTTCTAACATGATATACTGCCTCTCTTCTACCACTGGACCTTCAACATATCAGTTTTCATCTGAAATATTTCTACCCTCTCTCCAACCCCATCTTGACTCAAGATATTTACTCCTACTAATTTTTCTGAACTTGGTTCAAGTGTCAACTTTCTCTGGGAAATCTCAAACACCCTAGTCCACAACTAATTCCTTTGAGCCTTTATCCAATTTGTAGGCATACATTATGCATTATTAGTATAGATATCTAACATGTAGTTGAACTGATGAAGTTCCAAGTTCAATAAAAGCAGTACCATTAACTAATTTTGCTCACCACTGTTAATCCTGTATTTAGAACATATCAAGTGCTCAAGTGGCATTTGTTAAACGAGGGAATGACTAAATGAACAACTAAGATAATTAGCAACCCAGAGGTCTTGAAGTGGTAAGAATTATATTAACTACACACAATCATACATGGTGGAACTTTGTACAAATTTTTCCTTTCTTTGCTGTTAAACTTGAGAACTCACAAGACATAGTTTAAATATATACATCATATTATTTTGACAATTCCTAGAGCTTCAAAGTAAACCAAGACCAGATATTAAATATCTAATTGATCAAGAAGAAGGCTGGTTTCCCTTAGCAAAAGCAGGTAGTCTAGCCTAGGAACTTCACAAATGGCCTAAATCATGAGAGCTGCCTCTCTGCAATGGCTTAGTATTTCTTTTTATTTTTTAAAATATTTTTTAGTTGTCAATGGATCTTTATTTTATTTATTTATATGCTTGCCTCACACGCGCTAGGCAAGCGCTCTACCACTGAGCCACAACCCCAGCCCCTGGCTTAGTATTTCTTGAGCAAACGAATGCACACTTGTCTCTTTCTGGCTGGTTTAGGCACAGGGTACAGAGATTCTATAGGCTCTCTTCCCTTAACAAAAGCTTAGATGAGTGAAAAGCAAACCTCAGATGACAGCGAAAGAATGAGCATTTATTAAAGATGGATTTAATAAATGCTCTGAGCACCTATGGTGTACCAGAAAGCCCTAGTTCTGGGCATTTCTCCTTCAGTCTCCCGAGCCTGAAGAGAAGCATCCCAGGCCTGCCTACTTCAAAAGACCAGGATGGGGGTTCCATAACGACTACGCGCTTCTGACAGTACCAGGGGGCAGAAAAGCCAGAGGCCGAAAAAGGTCTCCAAAGCCCGGCCCGGGCCGAACGAGCGAGCTCTGGATGGCTGCGCATCCCGAGCAGAGCTGGCGGAGGTGGGGACCCACCCTCTGGGGGACCGCGCTTACCCGTCGGGCGAGTACTCGAGGTTGAAGACCGCTCCGTGGGTGCGGGTGCTGAGATACACCGAGTCCGCAGGGTGGATGGAACCATAGAGGTTAGTCATGGTGCGAAAATTGTCTCGTGCCGGGTCCACGAACAGCCCGCGGCCCAGGCTGCGTTCTCTCAGCCACCCGAACAGTCTGGCGCCAGGGCCGCCCAGGCCCGCGCTGAGGCCGTGCCGACCCCGGCTCCCGGCCCTGCAGTCCTGCCCCGGACGTCGGCGTGACGGGGAAGGAGGTGAGGGCTCTCCCAGGGCGGAGGCGGCAGATGATTCCACAGTCCCTGGCGGCGCTAGGTCTCCCGCCCGCGCGGCCGGGGGCAATGGGGGAGCGCCTGGGCGGCGAGGGCTCCGGGCGGCCGGCGGGGGAGGGGCCGCGTCAGTCCCGGGCTGCGGAGGCACGGGCGGGGCAGCGGGAGAGGGCGGCCTGGCGGCAGTCGTTTGTTCCCCGTGGGGCGCCGGCTCCTCAGCTCGGGCCGCCGCGTCTCCGCTGGGGCTCCGGGGCCCGAAAGAAAACATGACCAACACCCCCGCCCCCAGCTCCCAGCCGCTGTCCTGCCGGCCGACACTTCGGCGCTCCAACTCTAGCCGACACTTCCGGGTGCGACGGCCTAAAGCTGCCGGCTGGGAAACCTGCCCCACCGCTTGGTTGCCCTCCACCGGGGACAAGGAAAGCGGGGACACTGCAGTGTTGCGGTTTTACAACCCCGAAGGACAGCAGTCCGGAGCGGCTAGCTGTTCGTGTGAGCGACTGAAGATGCCAGGGACCCGGGTGGGTACTGACTGAGGCTGGGTCTATAGATGTCAGTGAGCGGTTGATGTGTGTCTGACCAGTATTACGAAGCTGGGCAGGATTATGTTACTATTGTCCCCACTATACACTGAGGGATGGATTACCGTATTAGGTGCAGGTCACGTATGGTAAGTTGAATGGCATATTACCTGCTCAGCCTATGAGGGCTCAGGTTAGTAAATTTTGCACTAAAACGCCCTGTCTGCACAGTACCTGAAATTGTGGACTGTTGATGCCCTGAATATCTCTGCCCAATTGCCATCTATTGTCTAGTAGACCAAGTCTTTATCGTCGCTCCTTCCTACAGGAAGGGGCACATATCCAGCCAGGAGGGACTGAGAGGCACTGGAGATCTGAATCAAATCAATCTCATAAGCAACAGAGCCCAGGGTCAGTCCTCCTTGTACTGCATCTGCCAGGGAGGTCATGGAACCGTGATGGAGGTGAGGCCTCCATCACTGTCGCTGAGGATAATATATAGAACTTGCTAACAGAAAAGGGTTAATAAGAGCTAGCAATTTCTTGGGGGAGTGAAGCAAAGTCCTCAGTAAGGGAGAGGCTGAGGCACAAGGAAACACATTTATTTACTCTTCTCTATCCAATGACAGATTTTTTTTTTAAAATTACTTTCCAACTGATGTCTCCTAATACAACATGACTGAAATGATAAACACTGTTTTGTTTTGTTTTTTCCCTTTTCAGGCTTTTATACTTTGGGAGCAGCACGTTCACTCTCGATGATCACTAGTTCTGCCCATAAAGTAGAATTCTTTGTTGGGAACGAGTTTGATAAAATGAGCAAGGCGATTGGCCATGGCATAAAAAGATGAAATGGCAGCTATGTCCCAGGCATCTTCTCTACTGAAGCCATATATCTCAAGCTTTTTGAAATGGTCATCTGTTATATCATCAGCTCGGGAAACAGCAAGTGCAAACTCCAGCATTGCTTTTTCCCGAGCAGGAAGGTCAGACTTTCTCCAATTCACACAGACCTGCAAGAAAATATAGTCAGAAGCAGATTATCTTGTCTACTGCAAATAAATAATCAAACAAGGGCTTAATAAAATTGACATTGATGGTTTTTAAAAAAAGTCCCTCAAGGTTAGAATAAAGGAGCAAAATCAGACTAAAACAAAGTTTTCTGAGAAAAGTAGAGCTCAAAGACTCTCTTTGACCTGCCCCCACATCAATACCAAACAAAATATAATATTTGCAAAGTTAATAGTTTACATTTAGCAATTACTATAAATTAAGAATGTGCTCAGTGTTTTGTATTCATTATTTCATTTAATTCTTATAAAACCCCAGTTATATTTTTATTATCATCCCCTTTTTATTGACAAACTGCAGTTCAAAGAGGTGAAGTGACTTTCCCAAGGTTATATGGCTAGAGCACAGTATAGCTGGGATTGGATTTCAAATACACTGGATTCCAAAGACTATACTAGGTAATCAATTCCCTTGCTAAAGCAAAATACTAGAAACCACTACAAACCTTAAAATAAAATAGTTCAGTGTTTTAGTCAGCTTTTTTGCCACTGTGATCAAAAGTCCTGGCAAAAGCTGTTAGAGGAGAAAAAATTTACTTGAGGACTCCTGGTTTCAGAGGTCTAAACCCACAGATGGCCAACTCCATTGTTATGGGCTCAAGCTGAATGTAGATATAGCAGAGAACAGCTTAGGACATGACAATCAGGAAGGAGGGAGGGAGGGAGGGAGGGGGAGAGAGAGAGAGAGAGAGAGAGAGAGAGAGAGAGAGACTGACTCTGTTTACCAGGGACAAAATACATACCCCAAAGGCATGCCCTTAATAACCCAACTCCTTCAGCCACACCATATCTACCTAGAGTTACCACTCAGTTAATCCCTATCAGTAGATTAATGTACTGATTAGGTTAAGGCTCTCTTAAACCAATCATTTCACCTCTACTTTCTTGCACTGACTCACACATGCGCTTTTGGGGGACACCTCATATCTAAACTATAATATTCAGTAAACCATTGTGTGACAACATATTCTATGACCACTTGGGAGAGAGATCCTGGATGAGCAAAAGTTGGGTGTCGAGGCAGGATGCACTCAGCAGGGCAAAGGGGATGATCATGAAGTCATTTTTAGGCTAGCAAGAGATACCTTTAGGGAATAGAGTCTCCATAGATCAGATCAGAAGAGAAGTCTGGGGAATAGTGAAAATGATGAACCTCAACTCTGAGAATAAATGCAGATATTTCTGTTCCCCAGTCTTAAGGATCAGGGATTTCACTATAGGGTTCAGTAGGACTTTGTAATGAAATAGACATAGTAATGATACCCAAAGGGCATGACTTTGGACAAGGTAAGGACAGGATAAGTTGTTTACTGAAGAACTGATGGGCAAGAGCAGGTGGAGGCAGTTCCAGAATGAGAAGCGAATGGGCCAATGCCTGGGGTCAACAGTAAGAATTCAAAAGCCTAAAACATTGGTTTGGGCCCAGAAGTAATAATTAGTGGATGGACAAAATTCATACTGGAAGTGCAAACAGTATAATTAGCAGAAAGATGGCAAGTTTTGAAAAGAGACTCTTGCCACATTATAGTTATATATTCCATACTAAGTTAAATCTCTGAACCTTGAGTCTAAAATGGTTATAAGGCTTGCCTTGGACAGGTAGTTATGTGCATCTGATAGAATGTATGCCAAATAACCACCACTATGACTGATATTAATCTGGGGCATAGCTCTTCCTAATACTAAACATCACATACATGCAAAAGCAAGTGGGCACATAACAGGAACTGGAAGGGAATTCAAGCAATTAGAGATTTTGTTCCCTATACCATATCATAACATGGGCTTTGTCCTTTCCTCAGGTATGAAAGGCCCTGAAACTGGAACAGGAGAGGTGGGCACTAACCTGGTCAGAGAGCACTGGGTTCTTTGAGTAGACCCTGTACCAAGCACCATGGACAACCACATGGTATAGGCTCCTGTTGACCAGGCTGGTCACTACAATGATGAGTTCCTTATCTGCTCTGCTGAGCTGTCCTGGGGAGGAAGAGGAAAGAAGACCTGTTCATAATTCCTGGGCAATGGCTTAGAACCTAAACAGGTTTAGCTATATTTTAGCAACAGGCTCTGCCCACCCACCAACTTGCCTGCCATTCACTTATACATTTATTCATTCATTCATCTCTTGTCCCTAGCTACCAACTGACCTATTTTGTTTTTATTTATTTATATGGTGGTACTGGAGATTGAACCCAAACCAGGATCTAGTCCATGTTACCAAGCACTTTACCAATTACCCACATCCTCAGCCCTTTTTGAATTTTATTTTGAGACAGGGTCTTACTAAATGGCCCTAGGATGGCCTCAAACTTTTGATGCTTGGCTTTAGCCTCCTGACTACAGGCAGGCCACCATGCCTAGACTATTTTACTTTCTTCACAGTATGTAGTACTTTCTGAAATCAAAAGACTTCTTTCTTTCTTTTCTTTTTCTTCTTCTCCTCCTCCTCCTCCTTCCCTCCCCCACTTCCTCCTTCCATCTTAGTTGTTCACTATTCACTTTCTCCTCTTAAGAGTATGTTCAAGGGGCTGGGGTTATAGCTCAGTGGTAGAGCACTTACCTAGCATAATGAAGCACGGGGTTCGATCCCAAGAATAACATAAAAATAAATACATAAAATAAAGGTATTTTGTCCACCTACAACTAAAAACTATATTTTTAAAAAGCAATATGTTTGAGGGGCTGGAGATGTGGCTCAGTGGTAGAGCGCTCACTTAGCCTGTGCATGACCCTGGGTTCGATCCCCAGCACTACATAAAAATAAGTAAAATTGGGCTGAGGATGTGGCTCATGCAGTAGCGCGCTCGCCTGGCATGTGTGCGGCCCGGGTTCGATCCTCAGCACCACATACAAACAAAGATGTTGTGTCCGCCGAGAACTAAAAAAAATAAATATTAAAAT